CTCTTATACACATCTAGATGTGTATAAGAGACAGGAGCCAGCTAACGCAAAGACTTGAGCATTTGCCAGTAGCTGCACCTCCTATCTACTTCCCCCTCCCATGGAATAACAGCAGTTTCTGTGGCCAGCAAGACTAAGGCAAAGACTGAGCATTTTCCAGTAGCTGCGCCTCCTATCTACTTCCCCCTCCCATAGAATAACAGCAGTTTCTGTGGCCAGCACTCTCCCACACCAGGGCCCGGGTCCCACTGGCAAAAAGGATTGGACGAAGCTCCTGAATCTGGATGCGTTTTAAGCAGAGATGCAGAAAAGCAGTTCAATCTCGCCTTTCTGCACCTCTCCACAGACACGTGCAGATGCAGGAGTTCAATCCAGTCCACTTTGCTAGTGGGACCTCGCCCCAGTGCAACCTGGTGTGGACCTTTTTGTTTTTCTGCCTTGAGATATCATCCTGAAACTGACCGGGGGCCATGTCCCACTTGCAGCATTGAGCTAGCTCAACGCAGAGTTTTCTATGACGTGTGACGTGGGGCGACCCAGGAGATGAGTTCAGTTGCCGTCCATCGGGCCGTCATATTTTCTGTGAAATCGGAAAGGACTGCTAATATTTGTTCGTCCTTGAAATGAAGCAGAAAAAATGGCTAAACCCGAATGCAAAGCTCCTTACCCTGGCCCTCTTCTGTTGAGCTAGCTACTTTTCTTGACGTGGGATAGCTAGCTCAACGGATGTTGAGCCATCATTACCTCCTCGTGGAGGACACTCTGACAGACAAGGGAGGGCACTCTGACAGACGTGGGAGGACAATCTCACAGACGTGGGAGGACAATCTCACAGAGGTGGGAGGACACTTCGACAGACTTGGGGAGGCACTCATTTCTTTTATTTGGGTGGTTAATGCACATAGCCAGGAAGACCGTCCATGTTTGTTCCACGCTGTAGTGAGGTCCTGTCTCCTACTTCACGCAGTGCATGGAGAGCTCCGTATATCCGTCTTCTCTTTTTTATTTTCTAAAAAATATGGGCAAAAGCAGATTGCCTCTCCATTTTACATTTGAGAAAATATGGAAAAAAGCGTTCAGCAGCATTTGATTTTCTTTTCTTGCACTAGTTTTGAATTTTTAATTTGCAATAACTATGTCACACCGTTGAGCTAGCTCAACTCAACGGTGTAAGTAGAACATGGCCCCGACCCTAGGTGATTCAGGAATTTTCGCTCATTTAGTCCCCTTGGGATTCGAGCTCAGGTCTGTATTTCAGCAGTTTGTGGGTGTCCCAACTTTTGACCCATGTGGGAGTGTTGTTCTGCTTGTCAAGGGGCCTTTCTCCACCACTCACCGAACATGTAAAATGAGAATGAATCTTCCCCTAGAACATGGGAAGATACATGCCATAACTTCGGTTTTTTGTGCATAAGGTGAGTGCTCGTGTGTGCATACTTGTGTTGTCATGTTCGCTATACACGACTCCACAAAAGAAAAAAGAATGGATGTGCCAGACTGTTTCGTCGGACTTTCACCGACTCATCAGGAGGTCGAAGCCGGACATTCTGCCCAGGATGCATTCGACTGACGGACGAGTACTCACCACGGCGCCCGGAGTTAGCGCTGTATGTACCTGACTGCAATTAAGTTCAATACAAATCAGTTGAGAAAGTCCTACAGTGGGTGCACCCCGAGACCTTGTGCATTTCATTTGTAGCCACAGGCCCTCAAAACCTTCTACCATTCCAACCGTGCACCCTAACACTTGCTTGCCAAAGCAACCGACTGAATGACAGTGTCCATCGTGAGGGGGAGGACCCCCAGACCTTTGGAGCTCGACGATGGGGAATATGGACTTGAACTTGGGGATTACACCTATTTGCTTTGGAGTCTAATGGGAGCGTCTCCACAATGACTACGTGATGCACCAGCTTATGTGCATGAACATTCTGATCCCCTTCATTTTTTTTGGGGGGGGGAATGCTTCTTCTTTGGCGGCTGAGCCGATCTAATCCAGTTCCAGTTCGGCGTCGTTAGACACTCCTCAGGCCGTCCTCGGGCTCCGAGGACGAATCCTTGGGGATTTTTTTGTTTTCAGAGGCGTATTTCCGCCTGTCCTCGGGCAATCGCTCCGAGAATGAATCCTCGGGCCCCTCCCGCGGCCCGTTTCATGAGATTATACACGGCTGCGTGGGGTTTATCCGACCTTCAATTTGGGATGTCCGGCAAGGAGGCGTGGTGGTCCACTAGGTGGATGGCGGTAATACGTCACGGAGCCCGAAAATTAAATCACGAACGCGGGAATGGCCTTGTTCGAAATTCAAAATTCGAAATTGTGGGTCGCAGAACGACGGTGAGGCGGCACACGGGCGGGTCGTCGAAGGGGGCAGTGCACGCCCCACAACGGTGACAAATTGCGGTTTGGGTTGCCATCTCCTACCGTACTTCGGTGGCGATGCACAGCCACGGTTTGTAGTGTAGTCGACGCACCAAAGCGAAGAGGGACAATGTCATCTATGCTCGCTACGTGGAGGTGCGCGGCAGTTCCGTATAGCAGCGGCGGTCGGTGGACGCTTCAATCGGGGTAGAGCATTGTTCAGCGGGGGTGTTGGAGCTCGCATTGCAGGCGTCTTCGATCACGGTCGCAGGGTGAAGGCGGCTGGGTGGTGGTGGACGTTCGTTTTTCTGTCGGTGGGGCGCGATGGAGGGCTGAGGTGGGGATGGCCATGCTCTATTGTCGACGACGGAGAAGACAATTGTCGCGGCGGCTGCGCTCACCGTGGTTATCCGCAGCCAAGTGGAGAGGGGGGCAGGGTGCATGAGGGGCACACTTTCGAGGTGGCAAAGGCTTTTGGTGCAAAGGGTTACCTTGGCGGCAGGGTGCATGAGGGTCACGCTTTCGAGGTGGCAAAGGCTTTTGGTGCAAAGGGTCACGCTTTCTATTCGCTCGAGCGAGAGCAATCATGTGCATCACCGTCCAAAAATCCCTACTTTTCACTCCGTCGACCGCGGTCGTATCCTCCGCAGCCCTCTTGCCTTGTCTCCCTACGCGCGGTAGCACAACCTTCTTTCTGCCTTGGGACCCGCCTCTCTTCCTCCCTAGCGGACAAATCTGTCTCGCCGTCGTCGTCTTCGTCCTGACGGTTGCCATCTTCCGCTGCGTAATAATCGCCCCCTGCACCATCGCAATCGACGAAGATGTCGTCTCCCCCGACGTTCATGTTCGCCACCCTTCTCGTGATGCTGAAAGTGCTTGCTTGCTGAATTTCTGGCCGATGATCGTCCCAAACCTGCCGACCCATCACCTCTGTAGCAGAGCAGTCATCGTTGTCTCGTTGTCCGTTGATTGCTTCGTTGGGTGTAGTCGATCGACAAGCCGCCACACCCGCTGTTTTCGTCCTTGAAGCGGCCATGCCTGGAGTGCTCCCTCCCCCGTGCTTCGGTGAAATGACTCCACGTTCGGCGGCCAACTCACGAGAACACACGCCACTGTTATCCGGAACCCCCCCTGCCCTCATCAAAGATTGTGTGTGGTTGTCGCTTGCAGTTGGATTGACGACAACGGTATGTGTCATAGCCGGACCACTGCCAGACCTCAAACCGAAGCTGAGATCGACGAGTCCAGCGTCATAGCCAGTCGGGGTCCGTCCCTCCGGCAGCTCTGTGTACATGGGCATCTTTGGCTGTTGGTACAACCGGCTCCCCATCCAATCCTTTGTCGAACCGCTGCCCTGAGGAACCGTCGAGGATTGAAGCTCGTCGGCGTCGGTGTCACTCAGAGGCAATGGAATCTTGTGGGATGGTAGATGGCTGTACAGCGTTGGGTTGTATGGTCGCTTGCCACCTTCCACACCGCTGCATCGCTGTCGTGAAGATCTCATCGCCCCTACCGACAATGTGCTCTTCGTCATAAGGTTCTCCATCTTCCTCACCTTCTTTGACATCCGACACGTCGGTCTTCTTCTAGGAATGCGCTCGAGGAAGCAGATGTGAAAGCCGACAACGACCACTAGCAGCAGCAGCGGCAGCCCGCGGTACAAGTTAGCCATCAACGACATGACAGCCGAGACAGTGCACGCACTTGCGTTGTCGTATTCGCGGCGAGTGACGACACATGGTAATCACGAAGACGCCAAGGAAGCAGATTCGTGCAGGGAGCGAGTGGGCGTGCACGACTACAAAATCCGTGTTTTCGACCGTTGGGAAGCCTGCCCGAACGCCACGAGCCATCGAGGAGCCGACCGAAGTCGTCCTATCTCGGCCACGACCCTACCGACGGTCCGCCCGAAGAAGCCAAAGCGCCATGCCACGGATCGTTGCCAACGGTAAACTCCGGAGGCCGTTGCAGGACGTATTCAAGGAGGATGGCCCATGATGTCCGTCGACGAGGCCGGTGGACCACGACTAGAACACCTTCGGCCTCCAAATTTCCTTCTTCAGTTGACCCCAACGACCCGTCAATCGCGGATCCTCGGGCTCCAAAGGACCTCGCAAGGTCACTTGGAGCCGCAGATGATTTGGGTGGCAAATCCTCGGAGCCCGAGGAAAAATCATCGGGAGTGTTTTCACTTTTTCTTCTTCCAAAAACGACTCCGAGGATAGGTGGAACGACGACGAAATCCTTGGAGTTGCGTGCCCGAGGTGTGTCTAACGACGCCCTTCCTCTATCCAGTCCTGGTTGCATTTCCAACGGGCGATGAAATTGGAGTTTAGGCAGTCTCGGCCAACACGGGGTTGCAATTTTGGTGCTTCAGTGCTTGCAGGGCTTGTCCTTGATGGGCCCTGGCGAATGAGATACGTCGATTAATCATGTTCCTTCTTTTTTTGCAATTTCCCTTGCGGCTGTTGTAGTCTTACGTAGGATTTATGCGACTTAGCGAGTGCGCTCAAAATTCTTTTTCTTTCAGGCTTCCTGAATTTTGGAAATTACGGGTGCCTATTCAGATACTTAGCAACGAGTCCCTTCCCTTTGCATGTACATTTAGGAGAAGTCCCTGCAAGCTTTGTGAAAATCTTTGTTGATGGATGGTAGAATAGGAATCGACGTGGGAATTTGCGTGCCTTAGAACTCGCACGTGGAATTTTCTTTCAAACTTTTCAATTTCAATTCAACTTTAGGAATTAGGTGCAATTTCACTGGTATTTCGTGTAATTGTTTTGGTGCCTTTTTTATTTTGCAGGCATGCTTCCTTTTGCGCCGCGTTCTGGCATGCAATCTTTCCTCGCTCTCCCTGCCACTTTCTTCGCGCCATCATCGGCAAGCTGTAACTGTTTTCTTCTCCTGACCTTCTCACTCTTTTTTTTTCCTTGCTTCCGTTGAAGCTTGTCTTGCTCTATATTGCATCCCGTAACTACCTTTCCTGCCTTCATCTACACGTAGGAAGGTCCTGCTGATCCCCCGAGTAATCGTAGAAGTCGGACAACAACATGCAAGGAGGCTATGACCTCCGCACACTGCGATCCGATTGGCTACGAAGCACTCTACGCAGATCAACATGGCCCTCCTCACGCGGCTTTCCCCCTCTCATCTCTCCCCTTCCCCATCTTTCATCATTCTCTCTCCCTCCTTTCCACAACTACAAATCTTGCAAGCGCATCGATTTTACTCTCTCGGATTACATCGGCCAACTCTGGTGTAGTGGCTAGATGAGGTGGCGATCAACGAGTCGGACAGTCTTGACGAGTTACCTGCAACTTTACGGGATTATGCGCAGATTTTCTGCGATGGTCGAGTGGACGGGGTGACGATCGCTAGGGTTTAGTTCTGGGTACGTGGCGGCCGGGATCGCCAGTGCTCGAGCGAGGTAAGGTGCGTTGATGGTTGGTTGGATGGCGTGGGGCCATAACTCGAGAGCATAAGTTTTTGCGCCTTGTCCTCTTCTTTTTCCTATCTTTGGAGTTAAGTTGCATGGCGAAATGCCACTTTTCCTTTTCAATCGAGCGAATGTATACTCTTCTCTGTTCTCTTCCTTCCTCTTTGCTTCCACGGATGACTTGCGATGTCTGCATGTGTGTGAATGAGTTCTTGAGTCTCGCCCTTTGTTTCGCCCTCCTGCTTTTAGGATCTCGTTGGGCGAGGATCTTCAAAATGCGGGAGCTAACGAAGGTTGTCTCGTGAAATGAATGTCTTCTCGATGCTAGTGTGCATAATCCCTCTCTCTCGGATTTTGACAAGGTTGATGCGTTGATGGTGGATAAATTAACGGATGGATGCGACTTTCCTATGTTTTATCCCTAGCTAGGACTTTTGCTTGAGACATCCTTCGCGCTCCCGATCAATGAAGCTGGTCCACTTCTTGGTACAATCTTCCACTTGCAAGAAGAATGTAATGAGGAGATCGACACTGCTTCCGCTGATTGTGAATGCGAAGCACTCTAGGTGCCTAACATTTTTGCTTGCACTTCCTTTCATCTTCATTTTGGTTGAACGCCCCTTCTGCATGATTAGCGGTACGACCTATCTGCGGATGTGATCAAAGGGTTTTGGAATGGGCACACCTTGAAAAGCTGCTTAACTCGTGAAGGTCTCTGCTCTTCTTATGGCTCATAGAGGGAATGCTCATCCCATGCGAAGATCCAAGTATTCTTGTTGTCGTCACTCCGAACTTGCTTCTGTTTTTTACTTATGTGTTTGACAAACACGTGATTGCTTGTTCAGAAACTTCTTCCTGAACTCATCCGTTAGTTTCCTGGGTAATCCCCCTTTGTGCAGGAACATCAGACCTGAAAGTCACATCGTATTGTCGGATCTCCTCTGTGAAGGCAATTCCTGAAGCTAATGGGATTTGATCACCTTGTTTTGTGAGCGGTGGATGCGTGTGTATCGGCCATGTGGACCGAGCGAGCGGAGCCATCGGGGTGGCGACTTCTCGAACATCCCCTCACACGACCTTTCCCGTACAATGAGGATATGACACATGTCTGCGAGTGGGACGTACGAGAAGCCGTAGCCAAGATTGGGAGCCCGAATCATTTCCCTTCCGAGACGTGGTGTGATGGGTTTGTCAATTTGAGTTTTGTGATTGTTGGTACTCATTTTCCTCACTCCATTTTGCTTCCTTTCAATGAGGTGATCGACGTCCCGTGGCCGACATTTGCTCCCCATTGGCCTCGTACGGTGTGCAGCGATTGTTGCCGCACGGAGTGCTTTCAAGCCAAAGGGTTCAACTATCGGTTATGTGGCAAAGAGGAGTTTAAACAGAAAGCAGTGAGACTGTGACCCTCCGACTCGGATTCTGAGCTTTGCGAAGAACGCCGTCGGTCCCTTATTAGAAACCGAGATCCGACGTGTGTTCCCCCTCCTTTTCGACACTGCAAAAGGCGTCACGCTGCGTGCGACGAAGTCCAAAGATACTTTTTGGATTAGGTAGCCGTTGGAAAGACTCAGTCCTGCTTTTCCCGCTTTGCTCGCCGCTTCATATGTGGAACCACATGGGAGATTTCAGTTTTGTTTCTCTCCACACTCAATTTCCGAAATAATATCCTCGGCACACCCTATTTTTGACGCTTTCCAGGCCCCTTTCCACGCTTTAGTCACTCCGACGGGAAAGTTATGCTGGGCGTGAGGTTGAGCGTCACAACTAAGAGTTTAGTCCTTTTAGGCGCCCCATCACAGGTGGCGGTGTAAGTATGATGATGTTTTATTTTGTTTTTTGCATCGTGAAGGTAGAGAGATCCACCCATGTAGTCTTTGCTAGGATGTACACTCGGAAGTAGGTTGTCCCCAAGAAAAGGCGTTTCGCTGCGCGCGACGAAGTTCGAAGATACTTTTTGGATTAGGTAGTCGGTGGAAGGACTCATTCCTGCTTTTCCTGCTTTGCTCACCGCTCCATATCTGGGACCACTCGGGAGACTTCAGTTCTATCTGTGTCTCCACACTCAATTTCCCAAATATCTTTGGTACACCCCATTTTTCCTGCTTTCCAGGCCCTTTTCCACACTTTAGTCACTCCGACGGGAAAGCTGTGCAGGGCGTGAGGTTGACCGTCACAACTAAGAGTTTAGTCCTCTTAGGCATTCCATCACAGGTGGCAGCGTAAGTATGATGGTGCTTGATTTCGGTTTTTTTCATCGCGGTAGAGAGATCCACACATGTAGTCTTTGCTAGGACGTACACTTGGTAGTAGGTTGTCCCCGAGATGGTGGGGTGATAGTGCTGAGCGATTAACGCTGAGGTAGGATAGAGGGAATAGGGCTGCATTAGGAGAACTGATGAGGGGATGGGTAGGGAGGCGGTCTTACAAAAATGATGGCTGGCTGAGATTGCGACTACCGTGTGTGTCTGGCACCTGGCCTCTACAACAACCTGGGCTTCTTTTGTAAGGGAAAAAGAAAAGAGTGGGTTGTTAGTGCTTTGGTGGAATTGTTAGTCCCGTGGTTCTCACATGTACCGCCCCAGGTTTTATTTTATTTTTTATTTTTTATTTTTTTCCCACCCCAGGTAGTGGCTCCTGGGGCCAGGTCCCACTTACCTGGATTCTTCATTTCTGGCCGTTGATCTTTTACAATCTCGGAAATCTGGAATTCGGCTAAGTGGGACCTGGGCCCTGATGAGTTCTGTGTGATCTGGAGTTGAGAGAACGGGTTTCGGGAAGTGCACGCCAGTGGCAGGCCTTTCGGTGGCAAAGGGACAAGGTGCCCCCGCACTACTCGCCAAATGTGAAAAACAGAGAATGTATCTTCGTGTAGAATGTGGGAAAGTGCATCCTCCATAATTTTTGTCCTTTTCACATTTGGTGGGTGGTGCGGCGAGGCGCATAAACACCGATTGGGGTTTTTATTTTTGACACCAGTGTCATGGTCAAACTGACTGGTCCCAGGTGATTCAGAATTGGCTGCTTTCATGCGTGCAGTTCCATCTGGATTCAAACACGGGACTGCGTTTTCAACAGTTCATGGGTGTACCAACTGAGCTAGGCCTGCTGGTCCTGCTGGAGTTTGGAATGCCAAAAAGTTGCCTGCTGCAAATGATAAGTGTGCACCTCTCCACAGATCATGCCCAGATTCATGCGTGATATCCGATCCTCTTTGCCAGTGGGACCTCCCCAGGGGGCAAATGGGCAATTTTGACCGCCACCCGCCAAAGATACTAAAATAGCCTCCTACGCAGAGCATCTACGGCCAGAAGCAGAGTATCCAGGTTCGTGGGCGAGGAGAATTGCTTAGAAATAGGACTTGATTCAATAGAATTCCCAAGCAACTGCCTTCCCGGA